GGGGTTTTTTATGTAAATTTTTGGAAAAATTTTTAAGGGGTCCCGGGGGGGGAGGTAAAATTGGAACTAGGGTAGTGGGTTCGGGGGATAACCCACCAAGGGGAAGGTCAGGCCTGGCCACTATACGCGGCGGGGGGGTGGGAGTTCCGGAGGAAATGGGGGGGGTTGAGCTTGTCCAGATTGTGTTTTTACCATCGGTACTGTGAAGGGGAGGGGTAGATATGGCGGGAGCAGGGGGCCATATCATGTTAAGGGAGCGCGCATCCGCTGTCTTCATGCGGTAGCGTGCTCCGGCCCCCAAGGCTCCACTCGTTCTCCAGGTTGCACAGACCCTCAGGGCCCGGGCCTTCGGCTGATGTTGTGCAATGCCAGGTCCGTAGTAAATAAAGCCCCCCTCATTTGTGATCTTGTTCAGGAGGGGGGAGCGGACCTGGCAGGTATTACGGAGACCTGGTTGGGCCTGGAGGGAGGGGTCCCTCTGGTAGAAATGTGCCCACCAGGCTTCCACGCATTCCATCAACCGAGGTCTCAGGGGAGGGGCGGGGGAGTAGCGGTTATTATTAGAGAAGGTTTTAGGCCGAGAGAGGCCACTGTTCCTCAGACGGCCGGTTGTGAGACCCTCCTTGTGAAGTGGGGTCATGGGGTTCAGATGGGTTTGCTGATCACGTACCTGGCTCTCTGCCATGTGGCAGCAGCCCTGCCCGAGCTACTCAACGTTATCGCCGCGGTGGCGATTGACACCCCCAGACTTATGGTCATGGAGGATTTCAACCTGCCGTCCGTGGGTGAGACATCTGAGGTGGCTCGGGAGTTCATGGCTTCCATGACGGCTATGGATCTGACCCAGCTAATTCATGGCCCTACGCACATGGGGGAAACACACTGGACTTGATTTTTGTCTCTGGACAATGGCTGAGTGATCTCGAGATAGGGGACATAGTCATCGAGCCCTTGTTATGGTCAGATCACTCTCTCCTTCGCCTTGACCTTCGAACCGCTGCACCCCGCTGCAGGGAGGCGGAACCGATAAGATGGTACCGCCCCAGGCGCCTGATGGAACCTGATAGGTTCCAGACGGAGCTTGGGCCAATGCCTGAGGTCCTGGCTCACGCCTCGACTGGAGACCTAGTGGCCGCCTGGGATACGGCGGCCGCTGGAGCTCTGGATCGAGTCGTGCCTTTGCGGCCTCTGACCCGGCGCCGATCTCACCTGGCTCCTTGGTTTACTGAGGAGCTGAGGGAGATGAAGCGCCGGAAAAGACGCCTAGAGAGTAGTTGGAGGGCCAGTCGCACTGAATCTGACCGGACACTGGTAAGATCTCATATTAAGAATTACCTAGTGGCGATAAAAGCAGCGAAATGCACTCATCTTGCTGCTCTTATTGCGTCATCAGATAACCGCCCGGCCGCCCTGTTTAGGGTGACCCGCTCCCTGCTCCACCAGGAAGCGAGGGAGGACCCCTTGAAGGGAAGAGCCGAGGATTTTGTTCAGTATCTATATGACAAAATCACTCAGATTCGGGAAGATCTGGACTCCGACTGGGTAGATCCAGCGGGGATGACGGAGGCAGGTCCTGAGAATGTTATCTGGGATGAGTTTGATTCTGTGACCCCTGAGGACGTGGACAGGATTCTGGGTAGACTGAATGCGACCACATGTTTGTTGGACCCGTGTCCCTCCTGGTTAGTGCTGGCTTCCCGGGAGGTGACGCGAGGTTGGCTCCAGGGGATTATAAATGCTTCATTGAGTGAGGGTGTCTTTCCCGCCGCCTTGAAAGAGGCGGTGGTGAGACCTCTCCTCAACAAGCCTTCCCTGGACCCGGCAATACTGGCTAATTATCGTCCAGTCTCCAACCTTCGCTTTGTGGCGAAGGTTGTTGAGAGTGTGGTGGCACGACAGTTTCCCCGGTACCTGGATGAAACGACGTATCTAGATCCGTTCCAGTCGGGTTTCAGGCCTGGGTACAGCACGAAAACGGCATTGGTCGCGTTGGTGGATGATCTCTGGAGGGCTCGGGACAGAGGTTGTTCCTCTATCCTGGTCCTATTAGATCTCTCAGCGGCTTTTGATACCATCGACTATGGTATCATGCTGCACCGGTTGGAAGGGTTGGGGGTGGGAGGCACCGTATTACGGTGGTTCTCCTCCTTTCTCTCTGACCGGTCGCAGTCTGTGTTGACAGGGGGACAGAGGTCGACCCCGAGGCCCCTTATATGTGGGGTGCCACAAGGATCGGTCCTCTCGCCCCTTTTGTTCAACATTTATGTGAAGCCGTTGGGCGAGATCATCCGTGCTTTCGGGGTGGAGTACCATCAGTACACTGACGACACCCAGCTGTACATCTCCACCCCAGACCACCCCAACGATGCCCTTGAAGTAATGTCCCGGTGCCTGGAGGCCGTACGGATCTGGATGGGGAGAAACAGGCTCAGACTCAACCCATCCAAGACCGAGTGGCTGTGGTTTCTGACGTCCCGATATAGTCAGCTGGTGCCATCGCTGACTATTGGGGGCGAAGCATTGGCCCCCACGGAAAGGGCTCGCAACTTGGGTGTCCTCCTGGATTCACGGCTGTCTTTAGAAGAGCACTTGACGGCCGTGACCCGGGAGGATTTTTCATCAGGTTCGCCTGATCCGCCAGTTGCGTCCCTTTCTGGATCGGGACTCGTTACGCACGGTCACTCATGCCCTCGTCACCTCCCGTCTGGACTATTGTAACGCTCTCTACATGGGGCTCCCCTTGAGGAGCACTCGGAGGCTCCAACTGGCGCAGAGTGCGGCCGCGCGGGTGGTGATGGGAGCGACGTGGCGCTCCCATGTAACGCCTTTCCTGCGCGAGCTGCACTGGCTCCCGGTGGTCTTCCGAGTGCGCTTCAAGGTTTTGGTCATCACCTTCAGAGCGCTGCATGGCTTAGGACCTGGCTATTTATGGGACCGCCTGCTACCACCAATAGCCTCCCACCGACCAGTACGCTCCCATAGAGAGGGGCTCCTCCGGGTGCCGTTGGCCAAACAGTGTCGACTGGCGGCCCCCAGGGGGAGAGCCTTCTCTGTGGGGGCACCTACTATCTGGAACGAGCTCCCCCCCGAGATACGGAGGATTCCGGATCTGCGTACCTTCCGTCGCACGCTTAAGACGTTCCTATTCCAGCAAGCCGGCCTGACCTAAACTTTTCCTCTTTTAAATTGTTAAATTTTTTAACAATTTAAAATTCCCATTTTTAAATTTGGTTTTAAATTATTGGGGTTTTAAAATGGTTCAGCAAAATTTATTTAATTTGTTTTATCTCTATTTTAAATTTTGTATTTATATGTTTTATTTTATGGCTGTTCACCGCCCTGAGTCCTTCGGGAGTAGGACGGTATACAAATCTAATAAAATGCTAAAAAAAAAAAATGCTAAAATGCTTTAACAAATTCTAATCTTACTGTAATTCCAAGATCACTCTATTGTTCTTCAAGCATATGCCTACTATGCCTACATATTTAAAATTTGCATGGTTCACTGTGATGCCTAAGGACTCATTTCTTTAAAGAGATTGATAAAGGATTCTATTCTTTTTGATCTAAAATAGTACAGTCTTCTGTATCAGTTTTAGGCAGCTCTGTAACTTCTGAATATAGCTGCAATTAGGGTGGTTCTTTACCTAGGCACTATTCCAGGGTACTCAAACAGAAACAGGAAAATATCTCAGGAATCAGCCATGATGTAAGAGTATTCCCAAATAAACAGTTCATCCCTGTCTCAAAACAGAGAAACCATGAAATGCTGTTAGGTGGAGTTCTAAGAGCAATTCCCTTCCCTTGCCCCAACCCTATCAGCTTTTCATTTTCTTTATCAAAATGGTTGAAACTATAAAGGTCTAACTAGGGTCCTCACACTTTGTGGTACTTTGGCCCCCTAAGATGATAAATGATTTTTTATGAACTATCCTCATAGATAAAATGAATAATTACGTAAGAAATAAATACACCCTTAGCTTTCTATAACTACAGTATGGTTTTAATTTTAATCTCTGGATCTCAAAATTCATAGTATTACATTACTTCCTGTGACTATGCCTAACTGAAGTAGAAGAGTTTTGAGAGTGCTCCTTGTGGAGAACATTGAAATTCACTCCATGTTTCCCTTTTCCCTTTGACTGTTGCGTGGTTGCCTAGGCAAAGCAAGCACAAATTTTTTCACTAATGTCTGTGCAAGTATAAGATTTTAAAAGATTATTAGATCTGATTCTATGCTGATCATACTATATGTATACTAATATATACAATATTAGCATATTGCCCCCAACAATCTGAATTGTCATTTTACCCATCTCGGAATGATGGAAGGCTGAGTCAACCTTGAGCCAGTGAGATTCAATCTGCTGAACTGCAGTCAACTGAAGCAGCCTGCAATACTGCACTCTAACTACTGCGCCACCTTGGCTCTAAACTTTGATGCTCAAAAGTGTTTAATGGTCTGTACAAATACTGTAATCTCTCTCAACAAACTAATGTGTTCATGTCAATTAAATGTGGTTCTAGAATGTGATACTGCAGTAGACAATTGTGGAATCAGAGAAGTCAGGAAGTTTTCACGAAAGCCAGCAGTGATAAAACCAGCTTTGTTGAATAGAACTGCTGGAAGGGAGGGGATCTATGTTTCCCATGTCCCAATAAACCCATTCAAAAAAGCTTATTTCCTGCTATCTATGACCTGGAATCCTCCCCCCCCCCAAAGTGACTTTGCTCAAGATTGATGAGAACAAGGAATGCACAATATATGCAGATGTTTGCTTGCTAATCTCTGTGCCAGCAAGACTGCTCTTGGTTTTAAACATGCTAAATAAGATAGCTTGATAGCTAGCTCACTAAGTACTAAAACTGTCTGAAAGGGAGACCATCTATGAACAAGACTGCAAGTCTCTTTAACTTGGTAATAAATGTACCACCTGCAAACATAATAGAGTTATAATCAAATCTAATTAAAAATACTTAATCTATGGGATCTAGCATACCTCCAACACCATTGCAGCGAGATGTCATTTCCCACAGAACCAAAGCCATGGAATACACATCAGTTTGCTTAAAGGATTCAACATTATCCAAGTTCATTCTGGATTCCAAAACTTCAGGAGCCATGTATCTTGCTGTACCAACCTGTCAGCATTTACAAAAATTAAAATGCTTTAAATGGAATTATCTATTCAAAAAGCAAAACCACCACTAAATATTTTTTCTCAAAAACAGAGTCAGCTGTGTGGATGATAGAATACTGGGTGGATGGAAATAGGTTCAATTTTCATGACTTTAATCCCCACTTAAGCAATACCTCAAAGTGTAATGATTAGGATTTCCTCCATAAATGGAAACAGGTGCCAGGAAAAAAGCATCACTGGGGATATTAATGCAGTTTGAGCTAAAGCTGCCATCCACTGCTTTCAAATGATTGTCCAGATTTTATTGAAGAGATACTACTTGGAATTACATGCAGTTATTCAAGCCTATTTTTAGTCACAGTCAATCCATCACAAAGCTAAATACTTCAACAAAGGACATTATTTATCAAAATCCTCTAGCTGTCCAAATTGCTCCTCATGCGTCAGCTTACCTGCCCGCTATTAGCCAGGTCATCAACAGAGAGAGTAGGATCCAGCCTTAGTGATAACCCAAAATCACAGAGACAGCAAGCCAGATCATTCTTTACCAGGATATTAGAACTCTTCAGATCTCTGTGGACAATTGGTGTCTTGGGCCGACCACATGGTGTGTGATCACTATGAAGATGGGCAATCCCGCGAGCCAAAGAGCCACCCAGTTTCCAGAGATCCTCCCAGCTAATGATGTGTTTTATGAGGTATTCTTGCAAGTTGCCTCTTGAATGGAAAGCAGTGATCAACCAGTATTGTTTGCCTAGATCTGTCTTGCGCTCCTCTGCAGTAAGGAACTGTAGGATATTCTCATGTTTTAGATTTATGTCAGAGAAGATATCTTTCTCTGTCTTCCAGGAGGCATATTCTTCATAGGAGAAGATCTTCACAGCCACAGTTTCAAACTGTTCTGATGTGTTTTGTTTCAGTTTAGCCTTATAGACTTCTGCAAATCGCCCTTTGCCTACCAAAGTGTCCAATTCAATAGGCAGTAATTCGGTATTATGGTTAATATTATTAGCACAAGTAGAACTGATGTCAGAGCGATCATCATCCAGCATAATGGCACAAACGTCACTACAGTCTTTGTGCTTCCTGGACTTCACATTTTTCTCCCATGCCTTGTTGAGTTTCCTCCTCCTCTGAACACGGTAGAAGTAAAAGATAATGATTACAGCAATGGCGATCACCAGCAATGGGACAAGGCATATAACTGCAACCAAAGCAATCACATATTTTACTTCTGTACTTGAGGTGGTATCTGGAAAAAAAGATATAAAGCATTAGGTGAATCTGCAACAAAATATAATAAAATGTCATTAAAATAATTATAGTCTTATAATTATAAAACCGAGTCAATTTTGTGTTGTGGTTAAAGGCAGAAAGCTGGAAACTAGGATATTTTGAATTCTAGCCCTGCCTTAGACATGAAGCCAGATGGGTGATCTTGACCAGTTACTTTCTTTAGGCCCTGGGAACAAGGCAATGATTCTAGAAGACTAATATTTTAAGTATTTAAGTATTATTAACCTACTTGTAGTATAAGTAGTATAATAAATATAATAATACTTAAAATTAAGATTAAAAACCACAAAACAAAATGTATTGGGTCCAGGGATGAAATTTACTTACCTTCTCTACCAGTTCGCAAATTTGAGCATGCTCGCCTCCTCCATACATGCAAGATCCTTCTGCGCATGCGCAGAGGATCAAAACAGGACATGATGATGTCCAGGCAGGTGGGCGGAGCCGCCTGCTGCCAGCGCTACCGGTTTTCCCAAGCCGGATAGACGAGACTGAATTTCACCATTGATTGAGTCCCAGATTCAATGAAATCAGGTTTTCAAGGCCTTAGGAAAAGCCAGTAAATTTGGGGCAAATCTGATCTCTGAGGGAATGATGTGTGTGTGGGGGGAGGGGAATGAGTGCCAGAACAAAGAAGGCTTTCTTCCTGGGCCCTACCATATTTATTTATTATTTATTTATTAGTTCAATTATATGCCGCCCTCCTCCGAAGACTCAGGGCAGTTACAATGCACTTATAGCAATAGCCTTTGTATATACCTGCTTATTAGGGCTTTTGGCCCCCCATAAGCGGTGTTTCTACAAAGTCAGCTTATTGCCCCCACAATCCGGGTCCTCAATTTACCTACCTCGGAAAGATGGAAGGCTGAATCAACCTTGAGCCTGATGAGATTTGAACTCGCACTAATTGCAGGCAGCTGGCAGCTAAGTGCTATATAACAGCACTTAGTCCACTGCACCACCAAGGCTTTCCCAACACTTCCTAAGAAATGGAACCTGGAGCATGCCACTCCTGATGGCATAAGTTCCAGATGTAAAACAAAATGAATTGAGGAATCAACTTTCCTTGCTGCTGATAGGCAAACTACATTTCATATTCAAGTTAAATAACATTCAGTTTTTTTCTACAAGCGAATCTGTTTTTCCTTTGTAAGGGTTGATAGAATAGAGAGCCAACTTAACTGTTTTCTTATTTTCTATTGAACAGACCTCTAGAAGTCTCACATGTATGGATTTATATGAATATTACAATTGGTTAGTTAGCATTGTTGTTCTTGAATAATATGAAGCATGTGGGTACAGAGCGTCTGCAGGATCAGAGATTTTCATTAAAATTAAAATGAAAGCAATGTTGTGCCACTCATTCATATGTGTATCGAAGTAGAGACAAGGGATGTGTCTCTATGACAAAACACAATGCTGATAGACAACTCCCCCACACACATATTGCATTTTTGAATGAAAGAATCATTAAGCAGCATTCTATGATTTCTATTTCCACCCCAAAAATATATTTTCGTTGTGCAAAAATGTTTGTCAAGCAAGGACAGAACAAAGTTAAATGTCTGAAACTATTTAAGCATTTGAGTAGCTTTCTAAGTTATTTTATAATGCTATCTAGTACAAAGTCTATAGGTCTCATTAGGTCTAATTAGGGTTTCAGAACACATGGGCTAAAACCCTATAGGTGTCCAATTTACAGGAGCCATCAGGCTTGGACTTTTGAATACCATTCAATTTAGGAAGAAATTTGTTTGATATGATAATTAAGGCATCAAGCTTAAAATCAGAAGGCTATGAGTTCTAATTTCACTTTGGCACAAAGACAGCTGGGTGACCTTCGGCCAGTCACTTTCTCTCAACTGTAGGAAGGAACAATGGCAAACCACTTTTGAAAGTGGTTTGCTAAGAAAACTGCAGGGACTAATCCTGACAGTCTCCAAGAATTGTCCACAATTGGATGGAATAAAAAACGAAGCTTATGGATACATTTTGAGTTGCTTCATTTATTTATGAGCCATAAACAATACTGTGTTCTTTAAATCATTATTCAAGGTATGAATAATGATTTTGACAACTTTTTTGACAAATTGGTTATATTTATCATTATGACAAAAATGACAATGAAATAGTTGCAACTGATTAAAGTATAATATATTTTCCAGATTGGGGGTATGAATATAAATGAAAGTGATAAAACTATTTCCTCCAATATTGACTCTGATGTGACTATTATCAGATATTGACTATTCATTGACACCGATCACTAGATAGCTGGAATTGTCTTCTCTGCTGGCACTGCAATGTAATATATCCATATAGTTTCAACTTCAAGGATTATGATTCTATTTTATTTGATGTAAGTTAAATTATTAAAAGTAAGTGGTATATTTATTCTAGCTGCAATGAAATTATTAGATTTATTCATAGGGAAGAGGTGAATGCACATTAATTTATCAGAGTTAGATGGTCATGGTATCACAAGATTTGAATACCTGACTGTTGGGTTTTTAGAATTATTAGCAACTAATAATGTTTGTTTGTTGCTGATTACTCAATTTTTAATAAGCTGTTGTTTTATTAAATATTGGACTAGGACCAGAGAAACTTAAGATGATCCACGACTTAGAACTGGGGTACTGTGTTACTTTGCAATCTATTCTGAAGAAGCACTTTATTTGAACCTTCAACAACAAAAAAGCTTCTTTGAAAATCCAAGCAGTCTTAATGGACACATTGGAGCTGCACAGCATGATTTTTCCACTCACAACTGCAACTTTAAGTTATTATAGATCTTACATTTATACTCCTTCAAGCTCTAAAATATTTTTTAAAGACTAAAAACCTATGCAGCTCTAATACAGACAGGAAATTATTTAAATTCCTTTCCTTTTGCCCTTTGCTTTTGAAATGCTTTCTTTATGTTTACCTATCTGTACCCTTTTAAGCCTTAAATGAGTTCACATTTACTGTTTCAAAAGGTTAAATTAAGTAAGAAAGAAAACATTATGCTACTGTGAAAATGAAGTACATTCTTCAAAATTATAGCAAATCTATTCACGTCTTCATTAATTAATTGGCTCAATATCTTCAAACAAATACAATATTTGGTCAATTATGTTTAGGCAATTGCACCAGCATTCAGCACCATATATAAAAATCATTTTTTTAAAAAAAGAATGTATCTGTGAAAAACTGTAGACAATTAGGACTTTACACATTCAGAAAATGCACATCCTTTATCTTCCTCTGACTGAGTCAATTGAGACAGTACACTAGAAATCACAAATGAATTGTGTCAATATTACTCTTTATGTAGAAAAACTAAGATAACCCAATACTCTAAGTATATAATGCAAAGGAAACATGAAGGTTTTGTGCTCATGCTAAAAATATTAATTAAATGATTAAGTACTGCCATTTACTTAAAACAGACTATTTCTTATATTCAAGTTTACGTTATTACCCAAATTTCAAAATAAATAAATGTACTAATAAATACTGAAGCAAATAAATAAATATCTTACGCAACATATTATCTGTGGATTATCTGTGTTGATCAGATTTAGGATTTCTTTTCTACATAAGTGAAAATTTTGAGTATGCAATAAAAGAAGTGTATTTCTGTCTGAGGATTATTGTGGAAATAATTTTTTATTATATATTATAATTATTGTGGAAAGTATTTTAATCCTATAATGACTGAGCAGTAAGTATGACAAAATATTGGGTACACAATACCAAAATATAACGTAAAGCTGAAATAATTAAAAAAACTAATAATGAAAATATTTCAGGGACACTATATAACAGTCGTAAGAGAAAAGTTACCATGTATTTTAGTGTTTGGGGTTAGAAAAAAAAGTGAGCGAATATATATAAGAAATATGTTTTAAAAAAATGCATGGCTTACAAAAATGGAGCTATTTTTAAATTACTAGAACATAGGTATCACCAAGCTAAATTGTGGATAGTTCCAGAAAGATAAAAAGATAAATTTAGTCAGTGTAATTTATTTAAGACACAGGCGTCGTCATGGGGCCACCATGTGATGTTTCATGACATTTTTACCCTTTGCAGAGCTTGGCTGGGTGTTGCCCGTGCATGATATATCTGGCCCGCGGGCCACCAGTTTGACACTCCTGATTTAAGATATATCAATACTGCCAGTTTGATCTTAAAAAGCCTGGTTTAGGTTTCAAGTGTGGGTACATGCCACCACAAAGTTCTAGTTTGTGCCTGCAGCTTTTCCAATTTTATTTGGCAAATAGAATCCACCTAACTATCATATGCCTCTCATTTTCAAATCCAGCATCACAAAGACCCACCCTGCCTCAGTTGATTATGCAAGTAATTCCCTCTGAATCAAAAAATAATTCAAAAATTTGGCTTTTCAAAATCAGTAAATTTGATTAATTAGATTAGTTATAAACTCAATGTTTCTTCACCTACCCAAATGTATGCTAGCTGAAAAATAAAAATTCACATGAGATCAGGACTTCATTCTATCAATTTTAAGTAGTTTTAAATGAAACCTCCTTGGAGGCTCTCAATAACTGGCATTACTGACCAATCATATTTAAATGGGGAGAAATAAGCCTTTAGATACCAAGTATAGCAAAGCCGATTTCCAAAATGTTAAGGATGACAGTTATTTATTTTTTATTTTATTTTATTTTTTTATAAATTTGTATACCGCCCTTCTCCCTGAGGACTCAGGGCGGTGAACAGCCAAGTAAAAACATAAACTATAAACATTAAAATACAATTAAAAAGATATATATATAAATTTGGCCCCATGATTAAAAACAATAACAGAAATTAAAAACATTTTAAAAAGTGTTAGGCCAGCCCGGCTTGCTGGAAAAAGACGATTATAAGGGCACGGCGGAAGACACCGAGGTCTTGGATTCTCCTTATCTCTGGGGGCAGCTGATTCCAGAATTTACGTGCCCC